ACATGAGGAAAAAAACATGTCATTAAAACAGTTTTAATGAAAAAATAAAGTTCTGAATTAAACTATAATTATACATGGCTGAAAGCGAGGAACTAAAAGGATGGAGACGGTACTTTGTTTTCTCTCTCTGCCGGTGGCGTAACGTGCTGGACTCGTCAGACCCCGCCTGCCAGGGTAACGCCGAGAGGGTACAACCAGTCAGTTGCACTGGTTAGTATCGAACTGCTGCGGAGGAGGCAGCTGGCATGGCACCGCGCCCTTTCTCCCACAAAACCTTTGGAAACAGGTTTGTGGCACTCCAGCCACGCTGGAAATGCCGTTACCGGAGTTCAGAGCAGGGCCGGCCCTCAAGGATCCTCCAAAGGCGCCCTGGAAGCGGCAGCATTTGAGAACTTTGGTTACTTGTCTGGCTGCAAAGAACAGTCGGGCAGCCGTCGGGGCAAGTCTTTGGCAAACTCCTCGGCAGTCCCACGTAGCTCCCGGAAGGCAGCGTCCCGGTCACCGTCGATAGTTCTCCAGGAGCTGGTTTTTAGAACCCAAGGTCAGTTCCTGCAGTGCAGCGGAGCAGGATTTGTGCCAAGAAGTGGGACTGAAGAACCGCTGCACGTCATGCAGCTCCATCACCCTGATGCGGGCGGCAGACTGTGACACCCCCGCGTCCCGCGGAGGCTGCGGCCGCCCCGTGTTGGAGGTGCCTGACCCTGTGTGACGGGAAGACCCGCGGCCCATCACCAGGATGCATCTCCTGGTGTGCCAGTACTCAGGGAAGGCAGCAGTCTAACGCGGCGTACCCGCAGCACTCACGCGGCCGCGGTACCAGCCGGGGACGCCCTTGCCCCAGTCTCACCGGACAGAGTGCGCCATTCGTCAGGCGTAACATCAGAGATGCCTCGAAACGGAGCGAATGTGCAGTACGTGTGGCTCTGGTCATCCCCTGCTCTCCCCGGCAGCCCCATGTACGAGCCTCGAGTCCCTGTCACGTTCCTGAAGGGGTTTCCCCCGGGGTGAGGCCCCCCCAGGAAGTCCCGTCGAGGGACCACAGGGTCAGCAGGGGCCTCGGCGCTCTCCTGTCCTCCCCTGTACCCAGCGGGTCTTCATTGCACTTCGTCTTGCCAGCCACACAGCCTGCTTTTGCTTTTGTCTGTGGCATTCCCGACCAATAGGTTAAAGGTCCCTTTTTTCATGACAAATCCAGTCTCTAAAAAAACCCCCAAAACAGCAAAAACAGAAGTCAACTCAGCTCTCGTACTCAGATGGAAATGATCAAATCCCAAACCAGACCTGCCAGTTCTAAGTTTACTACGGCCCCGTTTACAGTCCATGTTTGTATCTGGGGCTGAGGAAAGGGAAAGTCATCATCTTCTTAAAACAGCACCTTAGAGTTTAACAAAGGGCTGGGAAAAGGAGCAAACGGTACCCCCACACACACATTTGAGCCGATCATGCAAAACAAAGTCACAAAAAATCACCGTAAGAAGAAACCTTAGAGGCAGAAACGCGGCGCCGCTGATCCCAGCGCTGCCTGCCCACAGAAAGGGCCACGCTCCTCCTTTCCACACGCAGGAAGGAGTCCCGTTTTCGCTCGAGCGATGCCAAATCCCAGCATTCCACCGCTGCCCGGGCCCGCCAAACCGGAGGCGGACCCACGCTGAGGGCGGTGTGCGCCGACGCTCGCTCCGACGGAGCCTGCGGACACCTAAGATTGGTACGTACGGACACACGGGCGGGTGTAACATTACATGAAATTAAAACACGTGGCCATTTACTTGTCGGACTCCTCACACAGATTCCCTCCTCCAAAGAGTTTCCTAGCACAGAGGAGGTTTGCAGTTTCCCGATGGGATGAGAAAACATACGTGGTAAAGGTATGATACGTTCCCATCACCCAATCCATCGTCGTAACCGGACA